GATGCTGGTGTGAGTAGGTTAAACACAGAGCAAGTGGTTTTGAGAACTCTCTAGAACATCTTTTTATCTTATTTTATCTGGATCTACAGATGAAGTCCTTCAGGATTCTTTTGACATTTGTCTTTTTTATTTTTATGGTTAGTTTAGAAAGTGTTGTTATTGGCTGCTTCTGTCAGGTTCTGCCACAGAACTTGACAAAGTGCTTTGGCAGTACTTCTAACTTTTATTGTGTAAGAACTGCCTTAGTAATATATTCTGTGATCAAAGTGAGGTAATCCTTCTCAAGTTTCTTGTATCTCTCTGAATATAGGCTTTTTTTCATATATAACTGTGTAGACCCCACCTTCACCTCGGCACCACAGAGTAACCCCTAGTTATCATGTGTCTTACCACAACATTAATAAGACTTCATAAAATGACCACAGCTCCTTAGCCTCACCTTGCTACCCACCACCAAAAGCATCAAATGTTCATATTTAGTTGAGGCCAGTTTCGATCTATGTAAAGCCCAGATTTATGTAGAAACAGTGTCTCAAGCTTGAATGTCCCATAGTTATTAAGGAGTGAAGCATCAAAGTTGAGAAACAAGAGACTGAGAGAAATAAACCTGAATAGATAGTAAAAAGAAAATTTTGTAGACCATGACCCACATGTGAAATGTAATATTTTGAAGGGGTATACTAGCAAAAGGGAACAAAGGGAATGCAGGTGACAATGTATATGCCATGCCACACATGATAAGAACTCTCAATCTGTATTTATTATATTTGGTCTGGAGCACTAGGATGCACTTGTACAATTTCTTTCAGGAAGATAAGAGGACTAGCTATTTGCAGGGGATATGAACACACTGTTTGACTGTTCATGAGAATTTTCGTATCCAACGACAGTGGAAAAAAAAAAAAATTGGAAAACAACCTACTACTTTTGTGGGGGGAGGGGGGTAAATCAGTTCAGCACAGATTGACCCTCAAACGTACAAATAAAATTCATCAAGCTACATTGAAAACCACTGGTTGAAGCTTTTCTACCCAATATGGTTTAGCTATATAGTACCAATTCAGTTTTAAGAGAAGTTAATAGTAAAGCAAATAATCATGTGACAGATGACTAAGAGTTAACCTGTTGTTTGATTCCCAAGAATTTTAGAAAATCAAAGTAGTCCCTGTATGTGTGGTCTTAGGCCTGTACTTTTAAAACCTTTCTGCAGGGGGTGGCAATTTCAATTTTGCCGGGCGATCTGAAATTTCTATTAAAAGCATGGCAAGTGTTCGCCAGGCGATCTTATGCCAGGGCTGGCGTAAAATCGTATTGGAACAGCCTGGCGAAGCAAAGTCACGAGAGCCCTCCCTTTCCTGTGATTGAATACCATTTTCTTAAATTGGTAGCATATTTTTGTATAATATGATATAGGAATCACATTGTAATTTTAAAATATCTGAAAATCGCAATTTATTATGGAATAACATACGTTCATACAGTTGAGAGATCAAGACATCAGCTGTATTTCCTACCTCCTCCCCTCCCCCCCCCTTATTTCGTTGTAGGATTAATACCATACTGATGAGTGTTTATTATGGTATACTGGGATCCATATTTCTATTTCAAAAATTTTTTCTTAAGGAGGCATGTCTTGTAGACCAACAATTCAATATTTTATATCAGTTAGGTATTGTAAAATGGTAAAGTTAATTTTTGTATAAAAGTATAAAGTTGATATAGTATAGTATAAAGCATAAAGTTAACTTTGTTGTAGTATAAAGATGATTTTTAACTTCTTTGTTATAGTATAAAGTGAGAGTATTACAGAGATAACATTTTCGTCTTCTCCCGAGTTTAATAATTAAGTTTAGGTAATGTTAGGTAAGGGGTAAGTGGGTTAGGTGTTAGGAATTAACATGGCCTATATATAGCCTTTATGAGGTCCCGAAGGACTTTTTTTTATTCAAAATGGATAAGGAGAAGACCAACAAACTTGTGGTATTGGTTGCATGGTGACGCTGTGCACTGCAGATGTAAACAAATTTGCGTTTACTGTATTTTTTTCAGTCGCCAAAGCACTAGATTTAGCAGGAATACAAGATGTTAGCCGCTTTTTTTTTTGTATTTGTATTTTGTATTTTGACAAGCAAACTCGTTATGAATCTGAAAGAATTAGCCAACTAGAGGCTTTGTCTTTTGATAACATGTGATAATGGTAAGCAAAATAATTTTTGGCGAGAGAATTTGTATTTCAATCATGAATGGCTCTTCTAGGGGCTTTGAAAATCAGTCTTGAATGTAGAGGTTCGTCCCCCTCTCTCTCTCTCTCTCTCTCTCCTCTCTCTCTCTCTCTCTCTCTCTCTCTTCTCTCTCTCTCTCTCTCTCTCTCTCTCTCTCTCTCTCTCTCTCTCTCCTCTCTCTCCCTCTCTCTCTCCCTTCTCTCCCTCTCCCTCTCCCTCTCCCTCCCTCCCTCCTCTCTCTCTCTCTCTCTCTCCCTCCCTCCCTCCCTCCCTCCCTCCCTCCCTCCCTCCCTCCCTCCTCTCTCTCAACCTCTCCCTCCTTCTCTCTCCCTTTGTCTTCCTCTCCTTCCCTCCGTCTGTCTCCCTCTCCCTCTCCCTTCCTTCCTTCTCTCTGCCTCCTTTCTCTCCCCTCTCTTTCTCTCCCTCTCCCTCCCCTTCTTTATCTATCTCCCCTCCCCTCTCTCTTTCTCCCTCTGTCCCCTCTCCCTCCCTCTCTCTGTCTCCCTCTCCCCCCTTCTCTCTGTCTCCCTCTGTCTCCTTCTCCTCCTGTGTGTCTCCCTCTCCCTCCCCCTCCTGTTCTCTGTCTCCCTCCACCCTACTTTTCTCTGCCTCCTCTCCCTCCCTCCTCTCTGTCTGTCTCCCTCTCCCTCCTTCTCTCTGTCTCCTCTCCCTCCTTCTCTCTGTCTCTCTTCTCTCTTCCTCCTTCTCTCTGTCTCTCTGTCCTTCTCTCTGTCTCCCTCTCCCTTCCTCTCTCTGTCTCCCTCTCCCTCCTTCTCTCTGTCTCCTCTCCCTTCCTTCTCTCTGTCTCCCTCTCCCTCCTTTCTCTCTGTCCCCCCCCCCCCCCTCTCTCTCTCTCTCTCTCTCTCTCTCTCTCTCTCTCTCTCTCTCTCTCTCTCTCTCTCTCTCTCTCTCTCTCTCTCTCTCTCTCTCTCTCTCTCTCTCTCTCTCTCTCTCCATATTTTCAATTATACTGTACATATGCAGTCTTGTATGTACACAGACCCTCATACCCTTGGACATACATGCAGCTCCACATATGGACATAAGCCATAAATACTCACAGGAGGGTGAAAATACTGGAATTATGTTGATGCGCTGAAGCCACACAGGGCGTTATTATTTGCCATTTATGTCAGAAGCTCAAAAGGAGACCCTTCAGTATTATTGTACAAGATTTTCATGGTTATGTACTGATTATTCTTTCCAACAAGACACAATCTTCGTTTCTCTTCCCCCTTGCTGTTTGGTCCATGCCCCGTTTTTTTAAATTTCTGTCTTTCATTTTCTTTTTCTGTTTTGATTTTGGATAAAAGTTCTCCGGTGATAAGCACAAGCTTTATGAATATTTTAGGATTTAGAGAGAGGAGAAAGAGAGAGAGAGAGAGAGAGAGAGAGAGAGAGAGAGAGAGAGAGAGAGAGAGAGAGAGAGAGAGAGAGAGAGAGAGAGAGAGAGGGGGGGGGGGGAGGGGGGGGGGGGGAGGGATGGTATGAGGATAGTAAGGAGTTGAGAGAGACTTGATGACAATTTTCTCTTTCTTGTCTTGATGTGGTGCCATTATGCCAAATGACAATAATTTTCGATGAAATAACTAAATTTTTAGATGTGTGCTCTCTTCCTTCATTGGTGCAGATAAGCATATGAGCATTATTTGCTGACCATCATTTTCTGCCGGTTGAGAGCACAGTAGAATCCTTTCTGTAAAATTGGAATACTTTCTCTTTTAAAAGTTTCTTGTGCAAGGAAATAGAGTGCAATTGACATTATTTTGCTTTTAGTGGCACAGTCATTCATTCCTTTAAGTGTTGGATATAAGTGCTGCATGTGTTTGTGTGGGTGCATTTTGTAGTGGTATGTGTGTTTGTTTGTTTGCTTGTGTTTGCATGATGTATTTATGAAAAAAAAAGAAAAGAAAAAGAACCTTTATTTACATATAAATTCATTGACTATTGCCTTACTTGGCCCTCAGTTTGTATACGGAATCACTAGTGTGCATGTTTATTCCCAGTTGTCAACTCCTGAATTCACCCACAACAGCCCACTCTCAGTGCTCTTGCCCCACTCGTGTGTCCTGTTGACCAATCCTATTAAATCCATCGTGTCAGATTTACTAGCAAGGACGTCCTCCGTGCTCAAAGACTGTGAGGAAACCTAGATCTTTCACAATAGGTTTCGGCAATGAGTGGTCATGTCTGGTGGTCGGAGTATATGAAAAGATTATTATTTTTAAGATATGGTCCATCCTGTTGGGGTCGTTGAATTAGACTTGGTTTGTATATTTGTTGTTGTTATTAGCTAGCACATCTATCATCATCAATCATAATCGTCATCGTCATCATTATTTAGAAGGGGTGAGGATTTTTTTTTCTTTCTTTCTTTCTTTCTTTTTTGCTTATTTAATTATTTATTTTTACTTATTTGTTTATTTGTATCTAGTATTATTTTTACCCATTTGATTATTTATTTTCCTGTTTGATAAAGTATTTTATGTATCTGCTTATTTGTTTTTAGCTTTTCATAATTTGTTTTTACCTTTTTCTTTCATTATCAGTTTATTTTCTCTTTTCTTTCTTTTTGTTTTATTTAATTAATTGTTCTTAAAATGCGGTTATTTATTTTCACACATTCATTAATTTCTTTTCACCTGATCATTTATTTATTTTCACCTGTTCAGTTATTTGTTTCAACACATCTATCTATTCATGTATGTATTATGTGTACTGTTTCATTCCATGATATTCCCATTATATATCTGACGTGCTCTTCACTTGGCTTTCAGTGGCATGGTCGTCCAGGATGACTACCAAGTACCACAGATGCCTGAGGTGGTAGCCAAGTCGGGCTATGCACTGTTATACTTTTATTCAGATGCAGCTTACAACCTAACAGGATTCTCAATATCTTATACGTAAGTTGTAGGTACAGGAGGCGAGTTATTATGTCTTGATGGCTTTTTTTTTGTTTACCTTCTAAGGCAGTGCAGTTTGATATTTCGTGTCCACACAGAACAGAAAAGAAATTTTCCTCATTCTTCTCTTAAGTTCTTTCTACTTTAACCCTTTGCACTCACAAAACTAAGTAAATAAATGATGATAATTAATAAAAGAAGAAAAAGAAGAAACAAGTATTATCATTGCATCCAGAGGGGTTCATTAGCCCAACATCTCTCTGTAAAAGGCTAACATCTATCTGTATAAGGCCAATACCTATCTGTAAAAGGCCAACATCTATGTTAGAGGAGAAAACCAATCAGAAGTGCTTGTTTGAATCTCCCTAGACCAATGACCCCTCAAAGCCATTACTCTGGCATAAGGCAATAGGCCACTCGCAGCTGATCTGTCGCAAAGGGCATTGACAATTTCAGATTAAGGAAACTCTGGGATTCCACCTTGATGCTGAAAGGAGCATCATTAAATCAAATCAAAGTGGTTGATGTACAAATTACATTAGCTGATACTGTTCTAATATTGATGTTACAGATAATTAGGGATTTTTTGTTTCTGACAACTTTTGCTGTGTGTTGTCTAGAAAATGCCATTCGCCATATTTGTTCTTTAGTTTTCTGTTACAAATTAATATTGCTTATTGTTGTATAAATCAGACTCTATAGGTTAAAAGTTCTTTCTTTTACTGTGTTATTCATGTACATTTCTATGAATAGTTTGAATAAGAATACAAAATATACATAATGGAATGTAGATATGAGAGTGTTGATCCTTATTAATCCTGCTCTTATATGACACTGATTTCCCATCCTGGCCATCACAGAGTTGCTGGTTGCCCCACCACAGTTGTTGGCGAGGAATGCTCAAGCAGAGGTGCTTGCCTGGATGGGGAATGTACTTGTGATGCAGGCTGGGGGGGACCTGCCTGCTCGGTGCCAGTTTGCCCAGAAGGCTGTTCAGGCAACGGTCAATGCAAACCGGAGGAACACCGCTGCCAGTGCCATCAGGGATATACAGGTAGTGTATTTTGACAAAAAAAAAAAGTTGACAGAATTTTACGCTTTTCATCTTTTGTTGATAAGGGTAATCCTTGTGTAAGGTGGAATGATGGAAACTAAGTAAAAGGCTTGTTGTAATACTTTTATGATTGTGATACTTTTTATGATTATATATTAATCATTAGAACCAAGTGTTGATTTGGGTCTTAAATTTTGCACAAAGTGACTTGTTGCTTCTACAGGATGTTTGTTGTTTAACTTTTTGCTAAAATAGGCAATAAAGGCATGACTTTAGTTTACAGTCACACATGATGTAGCATACTCATCAAAAAGAAATTTCTAAACCTCAGACTTCTCCTTCTTACCAGGTGCAGACTGCAGTCAAGTCATAGAGGAGGGATGGTGGGAAGTGGTCAGCCACGACATCACCAGCCAGCTGAAAAAAGCAAATCCGTTCTCCTCCATGCTAGAGCGAGGGTCACATGCCACTGTCCTTATCAATAATGCAATCTGGGTCATAGGGGGATATTCCTTCACAGAAAAGCCTTTTGTTTTAAAATACAATATTACAGGTGAGTCCAGTTTTTTCTTTCTTTCTCGTTTCGTTTCTGATCAGTATTGATTTCCAACAATTTATATAGGAATGTTATATTATTGCCATATTTAAATTTTGTTGTTGAAATGCACATATGTTTTTTAGAAGATACCAATAGGCACTTAGTTTTGGCCATTGTAATTTTATTTTCTTACACATTTTAGAAGACACTTGGAGAGCTTTGGAGAGTCGAAGTATAAAGAAACCAGCCTCCAGATATGGGCATTCTGCGGTGGTGTATAATGTTAGTTTCAAGCCTATGTATTTTTACACTTGCAAGTTTGTCAATTGTGAATTTTGTCAGAAACAAAAAAATATGTATATATATTATGATAACCTCTCCTTCATATGCTTGAGAGGTTATTGATCTTCGTAATTTTGATTACCTTGGGCCTGGCCTTGATTTCCAACAGGGATCGATATACATGTATGGAGGCATGAAGGAGGATGGAACCATCACACGAGAGTTCTGGCAGCTTGACACCTCCTCTCTGGCCTGGTCGCTGGTCCCAACGGAAAAGAGTTCCAGAGGAGGCAAGAGTCGGAATGGGCGCAAGGGGAGACTAGGGCGTCGAGAAGGAAACAGACGCAACAACAGAAGTGGGAGAAGCCGAGAAAATAGGCAGGAGAACATCAGTAGCCGAAGAGAAGGGAGAGAGGGGAGAGAAGGAGATGAGGAGGAGTTTGGAGAGGAGGATGGAGAGGCAAACGATCATTCACCAAAGAGGGAGAATGGGAGTGAGGCGGGAGGTTGCTTGTCATCGTCGCCTGGGCCCTGTGCACCCATACCCTGTGTAGGGCATGCGGCGGTGGTGGTGCAGAAGGTGAAGAAGAATGTTATGCTCGTCATCTTTGGGCATTCCTCCAGATATGGATATTTAAACACAGTCCAAGAGTTTGATTTCGGTAAGACATGAATTTCCATCATTTATGACATCTAGCATCTGCATATGCTGTAATTTTCCTAATTAATAATTTCTTTTACTTTTTTTATTATTAACTGTAAAATATGTAGCCTATATATAGTAAACCTTTGTTATACATGAAGGTTACATTCCTATACAGCCTATAGTTATGTGAAATCTACTTGTAAGTGCTACAGTGTGAAGAGGTTGTGTAAAAGAGTATGCTTGCAATATTTGATAAATACATGTATATATCAGAATCAAAAGGTTACCCTGTTGGTACACTATTATCTCTCGAAGTTGGTGATATTGATCAAACTTTATTTGTATCTTAAGTTTTATACTCACATTATTTATTTTTATATATTGATTTAGATTATTAATGTCGTATTTTTTTTTTTTTCTTGCCTTTTTCATTTTAAGATTAAGTAACATACTAAAAGTTCATAATGATAGATATTTCCTATTTGCAGGCCTCATACAATGTTAAGTTTGTGGTAAAATAAAGTTATCTAGCAGTATTAACCATTGTAAGTTACCTATTGGAGATGTAAACACTATAGGGCAATGGTGGTGCTCCTATCAAGTAAACTAAGGAATACATGATTCAAATCACTGTCCCAACCTGTCCGAACACCCAGTCAGGTTCTGATTGTGACATGACCTGCATTTCTCAAAATCTGTATCCCTTGAAAATGTTGTAAGCTTACCATTCACTACATGATTTCAGAGCAAGGCAACTGGGAAACCATAGAAACACGAGGTGCAGTGGTGAGTGGTGTTTATGGTCACACGGCCGTCTGGGATCCTGTGACCTCTCTTGTTTACGTCCATGGTGGTCTGCATTCCATCACTTCCACCAGTCAAGTTGTGCCCTATTTGATGACTTATGATCCTGTCAAACACATATGGTAAGGGTGCCGCTTTTTTTCTCTCTCAAGCTCTTATTTTATTTCATTTTTGCCCCACCATCTTCTTGGTCTTTGTTTTGGTCATTATCATTGTCATTGTGTACAAGTTACTTTTTTTGATGGGGGGGAAAAAAAAAAAATCTTTTCTTTCTTTTTTTCTTTTTTTCTGTTTTCATGTTTTAAGTTTGATGTGTTTTAGAACTTATTATGACACGTTAAATAATTTAGATTATAATTTTTGCTTTCCTTTCTAACCCTACAGGAAACTACGAACCCCGGCTCCAGTGCCTCGGTTCTTGCATTCTGCCGTCCTTTTTAAAGGTTTAATGCTGGTGTTCGGAGGAAATACGCATAATGACACAGCCTATTCTTACGGTGCAAAGTGTTACAGTGCAGACTTTTTGGCCTACGACATAAGCTGTAATTCATGGCATACAATGCGCAAACCCCCCAACCTGTACCTTGATGTTGCTAGGTATGGACACACAGCAGTGTTTCACCAGGAGGAGATGTACATTGTTGGAGGCTTCAACGGCAAAATGTTGGGCTCTGTGCTGAAATACCATCCAGGAGAGTAAGTGTTTCGACCAAGAAAGTACTGTTGTGATTGATCCTTTAAGTACTGATGTAGGAGATACAAGGTTTAAAAAAGGTTTTGTTAGTTCTTTGTTTTTTGAAGTGAATTTTACTTTGAAGTGAAATCAGTATATTGCTTTGAATCTTCCTTTATTTGTCTCATTATTTACACTTTTGAAATCACTACTTTTATGATTATCTTTTATATTAGCTGTTGCTGATTGGTTCTACTTGTATTTCAGCTGTGAAACCGGGTTAACATCAAGTGAAAAGTGTTTGACAGCATACCCAGGTGTTAAGTGTGTATGGAATAGGTAAGTTAACACATGTCCTGTATATTTAATGGTTTGCAAATTTATTTTTCTTTACCACAATTGAGAAACCTTAACCCTATGATGACAGGGCCTGAATTTTTTGTGATGCAATATTACTCAACAGTCTAGACTTTGTGGCTAGGCCTAAGCTGTGTACAGCCAGCCGACCCAAGTCATGATGTCATAGGCCATTACGTCATGCCTGCAATAGACGTTCCTGTCACTGAAGGGTTGAGATTTGAATATGTCCCTGAGGGCTGCACTGCATCCTCTATCCCATGTGGTGGGATTAATGATGTAGAAGGCATAGTTACCACTAAACAGGCTTGCTTGATATACCTAATTTCTGGCTGCCCTGCTAGTTAATCACCAAATTTTCAAAAAGTTAATAATGTAGTTCCAAAACATGATTGTTATAGCCAAAGAAAAGTTATTGACATTTAAGACACACCCTTCAATTTATTTAATTATCTAATAAAGTTAATAATGAGAAAAAATCTAAGGTTAACATTAAAGTAAAATTAAAATTAGTTATGTTGGCAGTCTGGAAAGTTTCTCAGATTCTACATCAGTGAGTCTCGGTAAACAAATGAATATTGGTACAGTAGTTCTAGAAACCTATTAATCTTTGACAGTCAAAGATACTAGCAGATATCTTTGAAGTGTGAAAATGGGATATACAGTACAATTTTTGAAAGATAATACAGGTAATATAATGTCTTTTTGATATTCTCCTTGCAGGATCTTAACACGCTGTGAGTCAATTGATTTAAAAGATAAAAAAGCTTACGATGTATGCCCTGCAGTGACAGCAAAACATAATTTCACTGCGCTGTGCAACAGCCAAACGTCTTGCCATTCTTGTGTCTTCAATACCTACAACTGCTTCTGGTGTAGTAGCTCCTGCACGGATAATAAGTGTACAGAATACACAAAGGTCAGTCTGCATTTAAATTCGGTGTTTTGTGAACATTATGGCTAGAAGTCCATTTATATTTTTTTCTCTCAGTTATTTTTTTAGGGTTATAGAATATTTGCATGAACTATATCATGTATTGTTTCAGTCAGATTAGTGATTTTAGTATATCAAGGGTGATGTAGGATCAAAAACATTAAGTCAACAAAGTTAGTATTATATCAGATTAGTGTGTTTTAGATATGGATGTTGTGAATATTATCCATAGGTCTTAATTCTGCATATTAATTATATATCAGTTATTAGTGTGGAAAGGTGTGTGAGGAATGTTTTACACAGAGTTTCTTTGCTAGAACATTTTTCCTTCTTTTTTTCTTCCGTAGATTTATCATTTTTAGCTCAAGATTCATAGATTATAGAGTGTTTTTAAGTAGTCTCATTTCTTGTGACACAGATCATATTTCAAAGACTGTTATTAAATTTATACTTATTATTTTCTTGGTTTTTCAAGTTGTCAGATATTCACTGTGTATCATTTTCTTTGATATAGAGAATTGGTTCCGTTCTAATTAAGTATAAAGATGATTTAAATCCCATTTAAGTATGCGATAGTAGCTGCTTATATGCTTCATTATTATTGTTATATTTTAAATTTTTTTTATCTTCATGTCAGTAATGTGCCTGTCATTTTTATTTTTCTTTCTTTCTTTCTTTCTTTTTGTCTTTTTTCTTTATGCATATATTTTGCCTGATGATATTAATTGGTCTCCGTGTGGTGCTTGGCTGTGTGAATATCGGAATTGGTTAAACCATTCTATATACCAAAATGGGTGAATCTGTTTAATGTGAAGCTGCTGTTCTCATATAATTTCTCTTTGTTTTACTTATTTATGTGTTCATTTTTATTGCATGTAGAAAAATGCATTTCTGATAAATAAAGAGTTTGATGTTAGATGTAACTTTTAAATATATGAAATATGTCTCTAGATCGCAGGAGTTCTCCTAAATACATAGAGAATAATTAGAAATGTGCACACACACGCAGACAAACACACACGCATACACACACATTCCCCCCCGCCCCCCACTCCTTTCCCCCACTCCTTCCTTACTCCTTCCCCCTCCCCCTTCCCACTTACATCCTTGGATACTCTCATACACATATATGAATTTGATTAGTAGATTGGCAGAGGATGCCTCATTTGTGGTCCTACAAGTTGTGATCAAATGATACTCTTCACTTTTTGCAAGGAAAAAGTGGAGAGCAGAAGTCATCCTCACTCAAAATAGAGATAAAGAAGAAAGTGGATATTGCCTTTCATTGTCTCAGGGCTATTGGTAGTATAGTGTGGTAACTCCTGGATATCACTGGTTTCCTAATCAAGAATCATGGACGCTGATTCATCATAGTTAACTAGTAAGCTTTGGCACCTTCTAATAACTGAAGCCAAATTGCACTATGAATATGAATACTGCTAATGGGTGTCTTGTATTAGTTCCCGGAATGTAAATTGATAGAAAAATAGATGTGAACTGCAGAAATTGTGTGCGTTTGTGTGTCACTTGAAATGTTTATATTAAGTCTTTGTCACTGAATGTTCTTGTAATGTTTAGAGAACTCCTGCTGATGATAAAAGCACTGAAAAGAAATGTGTTTATTTTGCTTTGTCCCAGCGATGGAGCAGTAACTGTCTGTCTTGTTTCTAGCAGCCTGAAGGTGTGATGAGTTTGAGTAATGGTCTCCTAAATAAAGAGGTTCCAAGGCCAACTAAGGTGGTGGTATGTTGGTGTTTGCTGCTCCCTCCCTTATACTGTTGTTCTGTCTGTTTGTCTTGACCTGTCCCCGAGCTCTGCATGAGGGAGCTCGTGAAAGTTCTTGTGGGAGATGCCTGTGTTCAAATTTTATTTATTTGTATATATAATTTTTCTTTTTTTGTTTATTGATTTTATTTATTTATTTATTTATTTTTGTATAACCTTCGAACTTACTAATACTTTTTCGGTGGTTGTTTTGAAGTTCTCCCTTCCCCTTCCTTCTTTTTCGTATTGCATCATGTGCTTTTTCCTTTTTTGGTTATTTCTTTTAACTTTTTTTTTTACATATGTAATACATTTTGGAAGATCATTTTAAGGCGTAACCATATTTGAGGCATTCAGATTCTTTTTGCGATTGTGTTATTTTGAGAAGGTTAACTTGGTCGTTCTAAATACTCAATTATTTATGTATATATCTCATATATATTAATATATATATATATATATATATATATATATATATATATATATATATATATATATATTAATTTAATGTAACATATATATATATATATTATATATATATTTCTATCCTTCTTCTTCTTCTTCTTCTTCTTCTCTTCTTCTCTTCTCTTCTTCTTCTTCTTCTTCTTCTTCTCTTCTTCTTCTTCTTCTCTTCTTCTTCTTCTTCTTCTTCTTTTCTCTTCTTCTTCTTCTTCTTTCTCTTCTTCTTCTTCTTCTTCTCTTCTCTTCTTCTTCTTCTTCTTCTTCTTCTTCTTCTTCTTCTTCTTCTTCCTTCTTTCTTCTTCTTCTTCTTCTTCTTCTCTTCTCCTCCTTCTCCTCCTTCTCTCTCTCTCATTCTCCTTTTCCTTTCCTTTCCTTCCTTTTCCTTTTCCTTTTCCTTCTCTTCCTCTCCTCCTCCTCCTCCTCCTCCTCCTCCTTCTTCTCTTCTTCTTCTTCTTCTTCTCTTCTTCTTTCTTCTTTTCTTCTTCTTCCTTCTTCTTCTTCTTCTTCTTCTTCTTCTTCTTCTTCTTCTCTCTTCTTCTTCTTCTCTTCTCTTCTTCTTCTTCTTCTTCTCTTCTTCTTCTCTCTCCTCTCCTCTCCTCCTTCTCCTCCTCCTCCTCCTCCTCCTTCCTCCTCCTCCTCCTCCTCCTCCTCCTCCTCCTCCTCCTCCTTCTTCTTCTTCTTCATATTGAAAAAGAAAGTTTTTAGATTAACTTTTGGATGTTTAAGATTTCAATTTTCTCTTGCTTTTTTTGATTATGAATATTATTATTTTTATTTATTTGTAGTTTTATTTGATTTTGAATTTAATATTTTCATATATTTGTAAGTGAAACATTTTTTGGTATTACATCAGTTACATATATTTCTGCAAGACTTAAAATATTTATTTATTTGTTTGGAGTAAAGATGGAATTGCACATTTGTTATATATATAGGTAACTTATTTAGAACTTATAGATATGTTACTATTTTTAAGCAATTTTTATCTTTGATTTGTTAACTTTATAGGATAAGATGTTAGGCAGAATAGGAGGAGGTATAAACAAGGAAATGAAGAAGAGAAGAGAGAAGTGATACGAGGGAAGAAGGAAGATGAGTAATGAATAAAGAAATAGAAAGATCAGTAGATGAGAGAAATATAAAGATGGGTAAAGGGGTATTCCTCTTGTAGCTATGTGTGTGTAGAGGGGTAGACTAGGAGAGAAAGAGAAGAAGAGAGGAAGGGTGAAGGAAGATGGGAATAGATAAAGGAAGGAGAAAGCCAGGAGGATAATGGTAATCAGTTGGTGGGAGGGAAACTAAGATCGATAAGGAAAGGTACAGGTTGTTCTTCCCATAGACGTGTTTGTGTCGTCATATGAAAGTACATTCCCCTCCACTTCCATGGTCGCCACGGGACATTCCCAGTGTGTGGACCGCAAGTTTCAAATCCTCTATCCGGAACCCTTGTCAATTAGAGTAGGGTGCTTGAGTCTTAGGTATGTTTGTCGAAGCTGATGGTTCACGCTTGCGCAGAGTTGAGTGGTGACACTCTAGCTGGTAAGATTTCTTAGGATTTCATAGTATAGTTATATTCTTGTGGTTTGTCACATGTATTATTTTAATTTTTACTATTTTTTAGATAGTTTTTGTTGCTGTTATAATTTATGGTTACATCAGTGTTATCATAAATATTTTCATCATTGTTATCGTAATAGTATAATTATCATGGGTTCTTATTATTCTGTTGTGTATATATATTTGTCTTAAATTCTGGGGCTAAGTTATAAGGTACGAGCATTTTGATCGTAGTGAATATGAAAGAAGTTTAAGTATGAATGAGATAAAAAGAAAAGAATGTCTCTATATTGTTGCTTTTGCCAATTTTTATTTTTTATTTTTTTATAGTTTTATTTTGTAGATTTTCTTTATTGTTAAAACTTATTACTTGGTAATTGCTAAGATTGAGGGCCTTTTTTGCATGGTGTTTTGTTTGTGCATAACACATGTCTACTAAAATGGAATGCAATTTGATTGTTTATGCATTAGTGAGTTCAAATGCATGAATGATATTAAATAATGATTATAACTTTTTCAAGAATAATTTATATAGTTTTGGATTTCAGCAGGGAATGAAGTATTGCATACAATTACTAATATTTTTCCAGTTTTGTTTTTTTGCACTTATCCTCCCAGAAGACTAATTCTTACAAGATTTTTGCATGTGAGGCACAACTGCCATGCAGGTTGTTGATCCATGTTTACTATGATTTTTTTCTTATTTTTGTTTGGATGTTGCATAATGAATTAGTGTTCACAATTTGCTGTCAAGAATAGGTTAAGGTTAATAGTTTATTTCAATCTGCAAGCTAAGAGAGATGAAAATAGAAATAAAACGCAGTACAATATGATTCGGAAGTGTGTGAAAATCAGTGGTAACAGCTTTGTCAGTCAGAAAGATTCTTTATCTTTTAACCTGTTGGCTAAAGGTATCAGTAAACCTATCCATTCCCTATAGCAAGTTATTTTAGACTCCCCTAAGTGCAGTGGTCTAGTACTCTCCAATCTCCCCTCCTTCCTCCCCACCTCCCACCTCATTATTATCTTAGCCATGTGTGATTTCAGCCTCTAATTTGGAGTGCTTTCTTGCAACCTGCAAAACAATATATGTAAGAACCCATAGAGACACCCCCCTAATACTGAGGGGGCCGTTTAATCTCTCACTATCTTCCAAATAGGGAAATTTACACTGTTACCCTTGGAAATTGCGCATTTTTCATGATAGGAACTTTGATTCAGTTAACTTTTAGGAGATGACATAATATATGGCAACTAAGCTTGTATATTTTTTAGAGAGAGGAAATAATACAAGGCAACTAAGCATGTATTTTTTTAGAGAAGGAACAAAATAAAGTTAAACAAAGGTATCGATAATCCCCAGTTGAGTCTGATCCTACAGGGAGGTTTCTACACACTTTGCCTTCATGGATGACAAACACCTTAAAGATTGTTGATTCATGGTATTATTCTGTACTGTGGTTATTGTGAAGTGGGGTGTGTAGCAGCGTGAATGAAGGATTGAGTCAATTGTGTCGTAGATTTATTTCCAAATCTTCAAATGTGAAATAAACAAGTTTTTTTATGGTATTTTATATATTTATTGGAGCTTCCATTTATATATTTACCATTTCTTTGCAATTATTAAAAAGGAAGACAATAAATGAGAGCATCTTAGAATATTGTACAATTTAGAAAATACATTTGCCCTGAAAGTAAAGAAAAACCTATTTTTCTAAAATCAAACATCTGGAAGTTCATGCTTTTTTGATATAAGTAAAAATAGACAAGTCCACATTACAAGCTTTGCAATTGCTGCTTTTATATATAATGTCTTTATTAGATTTGCACAATTCTGATGAACTATGTGATTTTGAAATATTGTATATCATGTAGCATGGAATTATTCTGTCCCGTTCACACCTCTTTTGCACTTGTCACATTGAATTCTGTTTGAGTCTTTGCCCTCCTTGATAAACTTTTTCTAAAAATGATCTTGCAATACCGTATTACTTTTTGGTGAATGTTTAGGGAATGCGGCATTTTCAATATGTGTAATTATATATATATATATATATAATATATATATATATATATATATATATATATATATATATATATATATATATATATATATAATATACATATATATACATATATATACTTGTATACATATATACATATAGACATATACATATATATACATATTTACATATATATATAGATACATATATACACTATATATATATATTTGTATATACATGTTTATATGTATATATGGATATATATATATAATTATACATATATATATAATATATATATATATATATATATATATATATATATATATATATATATATATATATATATATATATATTATATATATATATATATAGTATATTATATATATATATATATATATATATATATATATATATATATATAATATATATATATTATATATATATATATATATATATATATATTATATATATATATATATATATATATATATATATATATATATATATATATTATATATATATATATATATATATATATATATATATATATATATATATATATATATATATATATTATATATATATATATATATATATATATATATATATATATATATATATATATATATATATATATATATATATATATATATATATATTATATATATATATATATTTATATGTTTATATTTATATAAATGTGTTTATATTTATTTATTTATATGTATATATGCATTTTTCCTCTCTTTTTTCCTTTTCTTTTTCTTTCTTTCTTTCTGTCTTTTCTAAAAGCGAAGAAAAAGAGATAACCTGAAAACTATTAAGGTCAGCATAAGGATGGCAACTTAATGGAATGCAATGTAACTAGCCTGACATAACTTGTGCTCTGAATTGGTTAGCTAATGGGATCATTTCAAGAAGACTGTCCTTCCAAGGTGATTTGATTTGATTTTCCACAAATGTTCAGTTAACATGGTACAGTTAGGAATGGTGTGCATGTCAACTCACTAAATTTTATTGTATTGTTTGGTTTTACTTTTTTTTAAACTACATATAGTTAAATGGACTGAAAATGGTTAATTAAGGGAAGATAATGAACTAAGTTTTAAAGCCAAGAGTATTAGGTGGCACAGTTGCTTGCACAGTTTAATAGTTACTTGCTCTCCAGGGTGTGGTGAGTGAGGAAGGCTGTGAGGATGGCTTGCGGTCACGATGCAAAGCGCTCAGCACCTGCCCCTTGTGTCGGGCACACCAGCACTGCGACTGGGTGGAAAAACAGTGTGTTCCAGCACCCAACAGGACAATGACAACTGCTCTTACTAATGGAGCGGCTGGAGAGGCTAATCCCAGCCTTGGCTCGGAGAATACTCTACAAACAGTGCAGATAGATAGAGACATGGCTAGTGGTACAGGGGCCACGTTGCTCTCTCACAAGCCTTGTCAGCCTACCTGTGCACAGAGGACATCATGTACAAACTGCACACAGGTAATGAAAATGATGATGATAATAATGCCCAGCATTTCTTGGACAGTGCTTATAATGTTTCCAAGTGTTTTGTGAGCCCATTCCTTATTCTGTGTTGTCTCTTGTACCTTTTAAGAGTTCGTGCATGTGGTGCTTCAATCAGCAGCGGTGTGTCAAGAATAATTCCTATTTGGTCAGTTTCCCCTACGGTCAGTGTAGAGAATGGACAACAGAATCCAAGAGGTGCATGGATGTGGAGCCTGGTAAGTGTACATTGTATGTCTTGTTATTTATTTTTTCATATTGCCTTTGTTTTTAAAGTATTACATTTGTTCATTATGTTCTGTCTCTCGTATCATATACTGTATTTAAAGTATTATCTTTTGTTATTTTCTCTTATATTTTTTTCACTTTCCTCTTTCATTGCTCTTCTGTATGTAAAGTAGAGGTTGAAGTTGCAGTTTAGCTCATGTCATATTCACTGCACATGTCCACTCGTGTTCCGTTGCAGGAATGAGCCGCTGCAGCATCCACCAAACATGTGAGAAATGCCAAGCAGACGTTGCATGCGGTTGGTGCGATGACGGAAGTGGTACAGGAATTGGCACCTGCATGGAGGGTGGTCAGAGAGGCCCCATTAACCCAGTTACCAAAGCCACTCAGAGGAAGAAGTGCCCCAGTCCGAACTGGTATTTCACCCAGTGCCCATGTGAGTTTCCCTTGTTGGACTGAGATGCAATTTTTTGTGGGTGTCATCATAGTTTACTTCATTTTCTACTGAGATACAATTTGTTCTTATTTCAGTGTTTGGTGATTATATGCTGTGCTAGATTTTGTATGCCTTGTATTGTAATATATAAGACATTAAAAAAAAAAAAATGGTATTCTATGGCTTTTGTTTTTCAGTATGCAATTGTAACGGCCACAGCACTTGTGAGAATCACAGTCAGTGCATCGAGCCTTGTGCCAACAATACTGGGGGATCCCATTGCCAGTACTGTGTGGAGAAATTCTTTGGAAAACCAATTAATGGCGGACTCTGCAAACGTGAGTTGTTTTGGGTGAAAGAAAAATGTTGCTGCAAAATTTTAGTTTGGTATGAATGACGAAGTCAAAATAGGGAAATTTTATGTTTATTATTATTTTTAGAATGCATATATGTATAATTATATATTTTATCCTTTCCAATGTATGTATTATATTCTTTTAAGACGAGACATAGATATGATTATTGATCATCATTTTTCCCCCTTTTTTTCTTACCAGCTTGTATGTGCAATGAGCATGGTGACACATGCAATCGTGAGACTGGACGCTGCAATTGTCACACAAAAGGGGTAACTGGTGATCACTGTGACCGATGTGATACTCAAAACAACTATGTTGGTGAACCCCTGAAAGGATCTTGTTTCTGTAAGTGTATTCATAATCAGTAAAAGCTCAGTCTTCTGGTATCAAATTGTTTAAAAGGAAGAATGGTTTCCTTAGCACTATATGACTGTAGATTTTTCGTTCTTGTTCAATTTATAGTTTAATGCTGTCTTGCACAATTTTGATAACAAGAGCAAAAAGATTCACAGATTTTTTAGGTTATACATCAATATTTTTACTTGGGTGAATATGTTTGAAGACCGTTATTTTGTTTTCTTAGATATGATAGATAAATACTTCCTGTTTCCTGTACAGATGACCTTCAGATAGACTATCAGTTTACTTTCAACCTCTCCAAACATGAGGATCGTCACATACGCCAGATCAACTTTTTCAACGTGCCAACAAAGAGTGATGTAGATACTGACTTCGATATACAATGTTCGAAGGCAACCAACATCAAGATTTCATCTAAAATGAGTAAGTGATTGCCCCGTCTTTGTAGTTTTTCCTTAACCGCTTTGATCCGGATGATTTGGGCCACACGTCATCAAAAAATATGGCTTGATGGATGGGTGATGCAAACTTGCCATCATGAGCATTTCAGCTGAAAATCAGGGTGATGAAAAAGACTTGCCGTGAGTGCACAAACTTCTTAGGTGGTGATAAGACTCTTTAGGCATTTAGAAAGTGGCTTTTGCATTGTAGTTAACCACCTGTTCACCAGTAAGTCCACCTTGAGCTGGGGCTGGCTGGAGATCTATTTAAAGTATATCACAGGTAATTTGGAATGAGTGGAAACATGGGTAGCACTTGCCAGTTTATAGGTGTATTAAAAAGACACTAAAAACACACGAAAAATGGCACAATAAAACATGGTAAAAATAGTAAAAATACTTTAAATTGAAATACAACCAATCAGAAAAAATACACACTAAAAAGGTATGCTGCTCCAAGCAAAGGCTTAAGATAAGTAAGATTTAAAGAAATGTAATTAAAATGAACAAGTGAACTTCAGGGTCCACTACAGTATTATTCCCATCAGTCAATGAGTGTGAAATGTAGTGTCTGTGAGCATTGTCTGGAGGAGCGCTGGCTCCAGGGATAATGACATTTCCATGCTTAGCATCCTATTTGTGGCTGCCATGAACAGACTAGAGTCCTGTCACTGCACACAAATGTTAGCGTGCATCCAGCCCATAAGCACCCATCAGACTGGCTGCTCACATAAACCTAATGCCCGCATTTTGGGCCTTGTGGAATTGTTAGACATGTATTTTTTGCTTAGTTTTGTTTTATTTATCTATTTCTTGTTTCCTTGGCTTATAATACTGTATTTGTATCTGTATCTTTGTTTTGTTTCTTCTTATCTTACTTTCTACCTGTTTATGTGACAATATGATTCTGTGGCAAGTTTAAATTCTTTCTTCTAATCATCATGTATGTAATCCTGTCCCATCCACAGCAAATAGTCACGAAACTTGGATCATACGCAACTTTACTGGTAAAAGAATCAAAAAGAGGTTCAGTTCTTCGGATTACACGTTCGGGTCAGCAGACAACAACACAACATTTCACGTCTACGTCTACAACTTCACGCCTCCCATAGAGATCATTGTATCGTTCTCCCAACACCCCAAGCTGGATCTTGTGCAGTTCTTCTCCATATTCTCACTGTAAGTGGCTATTGTATCTTTTATTTGGTAAAGAGATAATGAGTGGGGAGGGAGGGAGGGAGGGGATAAGAGGGAGGGAGGGAGTGAAGAGAAAGGGAGGGAGGGAGTGAGGAGTGAGTTAGAGAAAGGGAGGGAGGGAGGGAGTTAGAGAAAGGGAAGGAATTGGTGGGGGAAAGGTACTGAGTGAGTAAAGGAGGGAGGAAGAAGAGAAAAAAATAGAGAGGAGGGGAAAAGAGAAAAAATAAGAAAAAGCAGAAGTGAGGTGGGAAAAGAAATGGGAAAAGAAGAGGAGGAGGAAAGGAAGGCAGAGAGAAAGATGGAAAGACCAAACATAACATACATGAATGCCTATTTACAAGCATTTAAGTTGTCTCTCTGTGTACATATATTTTTGTATTTACAGTATGTGTATGAATTTATTCAAGATAAAAGATGAATTTTATTGACATATTGACTTTTGTGATTTATTCTTGGGTTAGGTTCTGTTTCCTTTACTGTCAGTGTTATCTTCAACAAAAGTTTGAGTGCAGATGAATATAACTATTTGATATAATTGTTATCACTATAATTATGATTATTTTTTTAAGTTACTTTTTTTCCATGTTACTTTGTATTTCATGGCTTTAACTGGGATAGTAATGTCATTAGAATAAGATATGTTCTGTTTATTTTCAGATGTTTCCTGATTTTACTGACTTTAGCAGCTATACTTTGGAAGATCAAACAGAAATATGACATTTATACCAGGAGACAGGTAACGTAGAGGAGAGTTATTTGTATTTTTGTTTGAAAGATCCAGCTGTTTGGTGACTTTTTTATTTGACAAAAGGAAGACAGGGCTGAACTGTTTTTCTTCATAGAAATAAGTTCAAAAACAAATATAACTGGTAAATACTTTGGCTTTAATGAAAGATTTATATGTTTGTAGAGTAGCATGATCCTTCACCATATCTCCCAACTGGGAAGGAGAAAGTATCCAAGATCTCTTTATTTTTTGCTTTGTTCCTTTAGCGTCTCTTGGTGGAGATGGAAGCCATGGCATCACGTCCCTTCCGCCCCATCCTCCTGGAGCTCTATCCGAGAGGCTCTGCCGATACCCCCAACGCCAATGGCATCATCTGCCCCACTCCCACCAACACCACGCCAACCCCCACCGCCATCACCACAACGACCCTGGCCAATAACTGCAACATTCTGGGCACCAATGGCACTGCCAATGCCATCAGCAGCTCCCTGACCAATGCCACAACCAACTCATTGTCCAGCCTCAACTCCAACTCCACAAACAAGGGAGTATTCAAGGCTAACAACATGAAGTCCTGCAATAATGTAATGAGCAATGCAACGTCACCGGATAGCCTTCCTTCAGACACCTTAGATGGCATGATGACGCTCAAGAAGAGAAAGAAGGTTAGAGGTTCTTGGGTATTTTAGAGCTGTTATGGAAGGGGCTTACATCCAAAAAATATTTTCAATGAGTCATATCTTTTGATTGGATGTAGCTTTTACTCCTTTTTTTTTCAACTGGATCTAGCTTTTATTCCTTTTTTCAACTATTGATAACTAATTAGACAGATAAAGATAAACACTGTAGTGATGCTGATTGGTGAAAACTTACTCCAGCAGATCAACCCAAGTCCTATATCCCTGGAGCCTTGCAGTGGGAACCGAGCAGCCGTCCTCTCACTCCTGGTTCAGTTGCCTACCGGTGGGGAACCCTTCACACCGCCAGGACATCCAGGTAAGAACAGATTGTCATTTTCTTGCTATAAACTATATTTTTATAGGAACTCTAAGAGTATAGCTGGGAGGTATCCAGTATACTTACTTTGTGTTCCAGGTGCCCACTGATGATGTGGAATGCATGCTTTATCTTATCCAAATTGTTTACACATTTCCATATATTCACAAAGTAAAAGATAGAGCAATATAAATTTTAATTGTTTTGTGTTTCGTTTTTGCATATTTTGAGAACAGACCAACTCTATTTTCAGGTGGTCTGGCAATAGCAAGCACTCTTGTAACGCTCGGAAACCCGAGGAAATGTAGTTCCGACCCCATAACTCTTACCAAGGGGGACGTCAACAAAAATAAAGCTCTAAGAGGTAAACAACCATATTCCAGCCATTCTCCTGACACCTGTATTTAACATAGGCCTTGCCACCATCCTGTAAGATGTGCAGATGTATCATGTATGATAAGCCATTGTTAACAATAGTCACATCCAAATTTTATAATGTAGTATGTAATAATGATCATAATGATTAGGTTTAGTATTAGTTGTCTGATGCCTTGAGCAGACAAAAGCATTCTCTGTTGTTGCTTATGTTGTCGCTTGCAGAAAGCTACATTGACTTAAAACAGTTATTTGGAAAATGAACCACTGAAACAGGTCTTCAGATGCACAGGTGTGTATTTGATGATATACAAAATGAGATGAGCATTTTATTCCTTTATTTTTTTTTTTTTTTTTGCTGAGTTTAACCCTTTTGTTTCTTGACTTTATTACCTACAGACATTTACCTGTTTTTCCACCTTAGTTTGAAAGAAAGGAAAATTGATTTCCTGTATGATTACCTGCGAAAGGATTTTTTTTTTTTTTCTTCTTCTTTTCTTTACTATCCATGTATAATTTCCTTGAAATTTGGAAGTCTATAAGCAGTTTTATTTTTGTATTTAATATTTTTTCAATTTCAAGAATGTCAACTGTTATCATTTCCAGGCCAGGAATGTCACTACTGTCTGCTAAGGCCTTAGATATGTGTTCTAAGACGAGCTTAGAAGTTAAACATGTTGAGTTAAACAATACGAATACAGTCCAGAAATGGCCAAACGAATTACATAATGCAACTGTACTGGGATGTTGAGCCTGGACAGTCCTGGCCACACAAAGTTCCTACTTCTTTGTGGAATAGTGAGAAGCGTAGCAACTCCACAAGGGCATGGTGGCAGAAATTCCTCTTGACACATGCGTTTTTTCATTGGCTGAAGATTGTCCGGGTTAGGAACGAGTGTTGGAGTATCATCATATACACACGACTCGTAGTTTTTTAATAATGAAGTTTTATTTGTTACGTATCATGCTCTGATAGATGCAGTTATCAGTGAAATATGGATAATTTTTCTTTTTCTTTTTTCTTTGTCTCTTTATTTCTTCTTTTTGCTATGAAAGAGTGACCACTTCTCATTTTCATTCATCTTTTTTTCCCCCCTACCTATCAACCCTTGCCTTCACTCCCTTCCCTACCCAACCCTCCACCCCTCCCTCTAGCCATCAGACTAACAGAAGACGTTACACGGATTTGATAGCGGCTTCGGAAGGGGCGGGGTGGGTGTGGTGGTAGGGTGGGGGGGGAAGGGTAGAATAAAACAGGGGAAGGGGGAGAGCACCTAAATGGAATCCTGCGTACCAAGCACTTCTCAGGGAGTGGTTGAGAGTCTAGGCCTGGATGTCGAGGGAGGGAGACGCGGACGGTGGCGGCTCAGGTGTTTGCCGTTTCTGGTTTCAGTGTCGAGCCAGTGGGAGGGAGAAAAGAAGGAAGGAATGATAATTAGGGATAAAGAGGAATTCAGATTGTCTAGTTCTCAGTCTTCTCTTTTTTAAGTTCAGTGAGAGTATGTGATAATGTGGAACACAGTTCTTACGTTTGTTATGATGATGATGAGGATTTTTTTTATTATGGATATTATGATTGTCATTATTATTATTATTGTCATTATTATTAGTAGTATCATCATCACTATTATTGCAATTATTGGTAGTATCATTATTTTTTATCAAATCATATTGATAATTTTTATTATTATTATTATTATTGCTATAATTATTATTTTTATCATCATTATCATTACTAGATATTGAATATTGTTGTTTAGTATTGTTTTTATGATTTGCAAAAAATTATTTTATTATTTTATCATCATCTTCACTATTATCATCATAATTATCATTATTATTATAATCACAACTACTGCTATTACTATTACTACTTATGCTACTATTACTACTGCAAAGATTACTGCTTCATATTCATTATTGTAATAGTAATGATATGAATGGTAAAGATGATGGCATGGTCATTTTTGGAAATTTTTGATAATGAGAAATGGTGTTCATTGTCGTTACTATTGTTTTTGATGTTTGTTTTGTCGATAAGTTGAATTGAATTGTAGTTTCAGTGCATAATATGTTAGACTGAAGACCATAGCATTATTGTCTTGCCTTACACAGTTTTCATGAAATCAGAATTAGACAAAAAAAAAAAAGCGAATGTCTTGTCTTCGCAGTCTCGCTAAGAAGCATAAGGTTTAACGTCTTATCATGGTATTGGATACCTATATTGCATCCTAAAGAGTTAGTGATGTATATCACTCTTTTGATCTTCAGATGATAAAGAGAAAATTTCCACACTTCTTTCTTGCACTACCAATAACTTCTTAGTGTAGGAGATAGCATGTTAGGGAAATTGGTATGTAAAATAGGACAGAATATTTATATTTTTCAGAGATGCAATACTTGTACTTTAGGGATATGTAAAGAAATGGCTCGAAGATCAAAATTCTTGTGAACGTCTGTAAACTGTGAAGTGTGTTTTATGTATGAAATGGGCATGCTTGTATTCTAGACACTTGTCTGGGATATTACTTGTAGAATGTTAGTAACATGATAAAATTGGAGAATGTGGTGTTCAGTTTTAATTTTCCATACATGTTAACATCTAGGCAATGTTCTCTCCTGTGGGTACCCTTATCATGGGCAGATCATTGCATATAGAATAGCAGTTTGAACCTGAAAACTGTGATGGTTGTCATTCTATGTGCATGTGGCATTGTCATTTGTATGGTGAAGGGTATTATGAGATTGTTCATTATACTTGCACTGTATGTAATTTCTCTTTTCCTTCTGTTTCTGGTCTTCTCTCTCATTTTTATCATGTAGTGTGTTTTGTAAAACATTGCAATTTCGTGTTCAGTGGTCGTCATGGATGCCTGTGTTACAAGGCAGTGTTTTTATCACAGCAAATTTTTATATTATATTTTCTTAGGCCTTTAATATTGCTGCCTTGGTAGGTATGGATTCATTTCATATGGCTCAAATACTTTGTTGTTATGGTTTTGGAACTTATGGATGTACATATTGAACAATAATTTTAAGACTTCAGATCATGATGTAATATATATATATATAAATATATTATTTATTTAGCCTGTATTATAAGGCAGAGCAGACCAAGTTGTGTATGGACTGTTTCATTGAATCTCAGCCATGTGATAATTCTGTATTCTAAGTCTGAATGATTTGCTCTTGGCTGTACGAAGGGCTTCAGCAGAAGGATATCAGCACCACAAAAGTGATCTGATCGCTTTTTTTGTGATGGCAGTAAGGTGTTTAACTTTTCTGGAACTGGAATGTTTTATATTGAAGTGAAGGTTATAATATAAACCATGGTTCGTGTATGAGTGATGGAATTTTATACCCCTTTTTACTAGTTGATGTATGCCGTGTAGCATACAAGATTTACTGTTTTGCTTGGGAGGAAGTATCACATTACTTGTTACACAGGGAGTGCTTGATATACAAAAAAAAATTGTCACACAAAATTCATTTTTTTATTTGATCATTCTTAGGGATTTTTAGGGCAAAGAAAACTTGTTACATTAGCTTTACCAGGTACTTTGGAAAGGGAACATTGTTACCACATGTATTCAGGAAAAACAGGGAATCTTAAAATTACCATGGACTACTTAGAAGATTATAGGCATTTTTATTGAAATAGATTTCACAATGCAAGTTACACATTGCTTTCACAGAAAACTCTATCCATACAAAGGGATTTGATGTGTACTGTGCTGTGTGTTGTAACCCAGAGGTGGGTTGAGAATCTGTACCTTTTTGCAACAATACAAAATGGCATGAATATTTGTGTGGTTTCAAAATGTTGGAGTCCAAGACATCATAGAGTATGATGCTGATATTCTTTGATAAATATCTTCCCTCCCTCTCCTCCTCCCTCCTTCCCTCTCCTCCTCTCTCTCCCTCTCTCCCTCTCCCTCCCTCTCCCCCTCCTCCTTCTCTTCCTCTCTCCCCCCTCTCTCCCTCTCTCCCCCTCTCTCCTCTCCCCCTCCTCTCTCCTCCCTCCTCTCTTCCTCTCTCCCCCCCTCTCTCCCCCCTTCTCCCCTCTCTCTCTCTCTCTCTCCCCTCTCTCACCCTCCTCTCTCTCCCTTGACACAAAAACTCCAAGAGCACCAAAATTGCCACTTCGGAATTCAGAACTCGAAGTGGGGATCTAAGACGGCACACATCATACCCCTAGTGTGTATAGGGCTCTAGGAAAAGTCAGAGGAAAATAATTCATAGAAATTGTTTCAAGTGTACAATTAGACATGACTGAAAAAGAGATGGTAAAAATACACCAAACAAGCAGTATTGCCACATTCAGTATAGGATATTTGTACTGGGGCATATGGTATTCTAGCTTGATACTAAACAGTGTACAGATATTTAGTGTCAAATAAGTATTAATTTTATTTTTACTTTTCTTTCTTTCTTTCTTTCTCATGTTTTGGTGATTATGATGTACACAGTATTAAGGTGTATGAATATATGGAGAATATTGTGGTTATGATTATGATGATTATTTTGTTTGTTTTTGTGGTTATTTTTGTTATTGAATTTTTATTATTATAACTTTGTAGTTTGATTATCAATATTGATAGTTCGAGTTGTAGAAAGAATAATGAATAAAATGAAGTATTATGAAATTGGTGTAAATCATCTACTTTTGCATACCATTGTGCTTGTCCATTATTATTATTGTTATTATTATTATATTATTATTATTATTATTATTATTATTATTATTGTCATCATTATTATTACTATAAATATTATTATTATTATCGTTATCATTATGATCATTCTTATTCCATGACTGGATTTTTTCTATTTCTTCCTTTCTTTTCTTTCTTATCAGTTTTCATACATTGTTATTGTTGTTATCATGATCAACCTGGGCTTGCCACTTGTAGAACTGTTCTGTTTGATTTTCCCTGTATACACTTTACATTTCATATCCATAGCGTTAATCCCTTTTTTATTATATTTGTACGTTCAAGGGTACAATGAATGATGTGAATGGAATGAACAATTTTTAACTTGATTTTTGCTTTTCCCATTGTGTTCGTAAAGGGAAGTTTTAATATCGGTGACGAGATGAGCTGTTTTGATATTTCTTATTTCTTTTCTATTTCTAATTTCTTTAGTAACTTTCATGTCCACCCCCTCCCCCGATTTGTTCCTTTTTATATATATATATATAGATTTATTTGTTATCGAATTCTTTATTTCTGACACATACTGACAATCGTGGAGGAAATTTGTCAGAAGGGCCAAAGATTGATGTCACAAATATACTTAAAAGGCTGAGAGTGGTTTGTATTTTGTTCTTTATTTACACGTCCTTTATTTCTACGAATTTTCTGAATGTATTTGTGTATACGTATAATTCTTAACTGATTATTATTGTTTATATTACTACTTATTTTATTATTATTTTTTTTTTCATAGGTCAGGTTACTTGAGAAATACCAAATTAAATATAGAAAATGGTACAAGAATTTAAAAAGGTGATCTGGGGAGCCCTTGTTTTCTCAAAATATTCTGTGAAATAAAAACAAGGAAGGGAAGAGAGTGACAAAAACTGATGTGCCTGCGTGCAAGCATGTAAATGTGCGTGTTTGTGTAGGAAAATGTTATAGAGAGGGAGAGGGTGTAGTGTTGCATAGCATGAGAGTTATTGGTTGTGTTTGATCGTTTATTGGTCTTCGTGTGTTTGAACCTCTTCCCCTCCTGTTTCTTCAGTATTTTTACCTTCGTGTAAGCAATGTGAGTTTTATATTGGTGATTATATAGAAAGCGCAAGAGAGAGAAAATTTTAATGTTTTATCATTAGCATCAGTATGAATACTTTTATTTATTATTATCATCATTATAAAGATTGTGTGATTATTTATGGAGTTGCAAAATAATACCTGTTACAATTATGTGTGACTTGTATATTGTTTTAGAAGAATGTTAAGATTTGACAATATCAGGCTTTACTGTGTATAGTTGTGAATCTCAGTTTAAGTCATGTTTACATTTCATGTAGAAAGAACAAAAAAACAAACAAAAAAAACTACACAAAATATTGTTTTTTGAAAAACAAATAAAATCCAATATGCATAGCTCAGCAATAATACATTAGTTGTAGGTCTGTTGATATTATTTTTATTATTTTTTATTCTTACGAATTTTATCTTATGAAATTTCACTGAAACACTCCAGTATATATGCACACTTAATTGAGGAAAACTTCTACCTCTAAAATAGCTTTTTCGTTTTTTGTTTTTTTTTAGAAGTAATATTTTTGCACTCAATACATTTTATAGATCCGTAATGCACAGACCGTTTCAGGACTTGGAAGCTAAAAAAAAAAAAAATCTGTTTTGCTTCGAGTTTTGAACAGCTGTGTAGTCGAGTTATGGCAAAGTTTTAAATTACTTTCATTTTGGAATTCTTCACAGATGATCATGTCTTAGTTTTCCCAGATATGTATATTCAATTGCTCTCTGAATTACATCATTGTTAGGGGAAGAAAAATTATTGAATTAACCCAAAAGATATCACGTGTCAAAAAATTAAGTTGTGGCTTATAGTGTTCCAACACATTGATATCATGCAGTCATAGCCTGAAAGAGTCAGATCCCCATCTTTGTGCC